TGTAGTGAGTGATAGAGGTGACACATTTGTAGTGGAGGAACCAGACTTCCTCGCCACTTTCTCGGTCAGTGTTTGACAGTCGAGTGGAAGTGGGCTAGTGCATAAGCTTAGCAACATGGTGGGAGAGTACACACAGTGCCATTTGAAGTGCGAGGAGTTTATAAGAAAGTACTAAAATAGTTGATTAAGGACAGGTGGTTGTTGCCGTACAATGTGAGAAAGTTTTTGTTGGATTTCCATGAGTAGAATGGGTACATAATTGCATACCCAGGAGACATGGATGTTTGCATGGACAAGCTGAGAGAGTGGCGGCAGTGGGGGAGAAATGAAAAGAAAAGGTGTACCTGCAGATCCGGTTCCATGCATCGTTGTGGCTGTACTAGATGGAGGTATTTCAGGGCCGGCGGTAGTGCTTGACCACCTAGGGTTTGGGTTGAACATAGCCCCATTGATGATGAAGGCATTATTGAAGAAGGTGCTGTAGTAGGACCCGCTGGAGGAAAAGGGGGAGTCAGCACATGTGGATGATATTTTAGCAGACATGGACACCGTAAAAGCCAGAAACGTGGAGCAAAATCTGAAGAAGTATGGGTTGGTGTCCAAACCCCTACAGCATCTTGCCGATGGTGTGTGGGCACTTGGCCTTAGTGTCTGAGGGAAGGAAATGGGATATGTTGGAGTGGAGTTGGGACAACCTGGCATATGACATTCCCTGCTGGTTGACGTGGTGGACTGTTTCCTCCTACTAAGGGAAGTTTTTGGGTCACTTCTTGGTGTGAGGGTAGCTGTGCATGTCTTTGGCAAATATCAAGTGATGCACCAATCTCGCCACCTAGAAGTGGGACGACGAAATCACTGACGATTGATTGAGGAAGATGATGCTGGAGGTAGTGGAGGCAGTAAGGTAGGACATCTTGTTATGGGTAAGAGGGCAATAGTGTGGGTAGACACAAGTTTGCTGGCACTTGGGGTACCCTGGAGTTAGCTGGACACGTGGTGGAGGATACAAGGTATCTACAGAAGGACAATACAGTCCACATCAATCAAGAGATGGATGCATTTGCAAAGGGAGTGAATGTTGATGAATTGGACAGCAGTGCACCGGTGGATTGAAGACAGCCTGACAGATAGCAAGCTGCAGACTAAGGCTGCAAATGAAATGTTAAGGAGGCAAGTGGAGATTGTTGCATCATTGGTGGAAGAGCGGGGTGTTAAGATGCTAAATGTGCTGGTACAGTCAAGTGAGAATGTGTCATGCCTAGCTGGAATGTAGAATATGTGCATATGCCCCATCAGGAAATGGAATCGCAGAAAGGTGTCAACACACAGTGAAAGTCATCACAACAAGAAATGGGTAATCCTTGGCAGAAGCAGTGTAACGATACAATGTAACACCGCAAGATGACCTGAGAGCAGATATGGCTGTACAGATACAAGGTTCAGGTCTGCAGTGTCAACGAAGAGGTGGATCAAGAGGAGCAGGTCAACAGATAGTTCTCTGGGTGAGGTAAAGTAGTGCAATGTGATCAGCACTATGGTGTTGGTGTCGTGACACAGATGTCAGACCAAGTAGTGGAGGTGGATGCTGCAATATGTGAGGGAACTGCGGTGATGCATGACATCAGCCGAGGGCGCCGCCAGGGCGGACGAGGACGTGATGAGGCCCTCCAAAGACGACTAGAAAGTGATACATGGAGACGCGAGTGTCGCAGAAGCCGGCAGCATAGAGAGCGAAAACGTCACTGAAGGAGAGCCTGGCGACGGCAAAGAGACACCAGTACTTTTCAATGCGGGTGCAGCGCCCGAGAGTATGGATCCCCGTAAATCCGCTCCAGTTACCAAAGTACGAGGGTGCTTTTCTAAAGTACATGAAGAACATAGGTGTTAGCAGGGTAATCTGTGAAGTTTTGGGGGAGTGTATTTAGTACAGTGTTAATCTTTGTGTTAATATAATATAACATGCGCTTTCCCGTTATGGGAAAACTGCTGGTTAACTATTGAGTGAGAGATTGGGAGGGCGGGCCGGACGACAGTTGCAGAGACAGAGGCTCGCTCGCCGGCTAGGAAGGCAGATGTATCCCCGGTAGGGATTTTGTTCACTTTGCTTTGTGTGGAATGATTTCTAATAAATACGGGAAGCAAGCATCCTTTTTTAATCATTTTTTGTATCATTCACAGTAACCCATTTGCAACTAACAAAAATACTAGATACTAGAATACTACTAGATACTAGAATGACACATCACTTTATATTCTTTAATATTTATGCACAATGCATAGCTATGTAAATCACACGCATATAAGATAGTGCATTTCAAAATGCATGGGTTGTATGTATGTAGCTTGATATGTTGTATAAAAAAGACATAGCTTTTGCTTTATACAAAATAAGAGACAATCAAAACTGTGAAGTGGCTAAAAAGGCAAAACTATAAAGCAACATGAATCTTCAAAAAAATGGGTATATACTTACTGGGCAGGTTTGCAACTAGCATATTGTGCAATATAGAAATAAGACAAGAACATTTAACAGGTGATGGTTGCCGCAAATTCTGGATGTGTGCGTTGAAATACGATAATAAATAAGTTTTAACACATACATCACTGCTGCCCCCATTTTTATGTTCAATGTTGTAATACTATGATATGAATGATTATCCGTGGGGTCACCATCCAGTCTTTGTAATTTTATACCTAGCATTTCCATTCTACTTAATTCTTTTAACATCGAGTCCTAAATATTTTGTTTTACTTCTGCCAGCATTTAATCCTTTTGTCCTCTGGAACTTGTTCTCCAGTCGGTTCCTACCTCTTCATCTCGTTAGTCTCTCATCCCTCATATGAGGCTAGTTTTGTGTGCAGAAAACTGTTTTCACTATATTTACTTACTATTGTTTTATCTTTCTTTTTCTTTGGGTTTCTTCTACTTTTCAATTTTTTTGGTTAATTCCTCTACAGTGACCCTGAAAATTGCAATTAATTGGGATTTTTTAAAGATAAAATGCAGCATGAATGTTTATTGCCATAGTTATGAGATGGCAGCATTAGCATAATGGAAGGTTGAATATTATAAGATGAATGAAACTTACATGGATGAGAATCACACATAGAAGAAATAATCAGTTGCATCACTTTTGAAGCGTAAGCCATAGTTATCTGTCTCAGGTCGGCCATGGTCCAAAATCCTTAAACGTCTGTGACTATTTTCTAATCCTTTGTCTTCCTTCTGATTTGTCTCTCTTTGTCTGCTGACTGCCCAGGCTGCCATGCCCGGACTCTCTGCTGATTCAGTGCTGCCATCCTTTCTCTCTGCTCATATGCTGCCATGGCCTGTCTCAGACTATCCTCCACCCAAATCTGTAAAAAAGTATTGTATACTAAACTACCAGTTTATATTTTTTCATCAGTTCAGCCATACTTGCCTCGACGTATTTATAATGAAACTTCACAACAAACTTACCCTGCTAGAGGCTAATAAATTTGTTCCCCAATTCCAGGTGTTCATCAACACGATTCGGCTCGACTCAATCATCTCTCTTGTAGCTCTGTTGAGATCTCGAGACTTGAAAGACTCCTGCATGTTAGCAACACTCCTCTGGAAATCAGGGCCAAGTCTTTGCCCGATCTGTAAGTTCATCTGGAACGTTGACCGAGCAAGGCGCATGGGTAGAGAAACTTCCTCTCCTCTTTCCGGCTGACGGTTTATTTCACTGTACAGTGTTGATGCTGCCTGACGTCCGAAGTCGTACTGAAATAGAGCTCATTTCAGAATGCCTCTTCGATTCATACAACTGGCTCAGTTTGTCTGCATTTGTCATTCTTTAAAATGCAATTGTGTCTAGCAAAATATCTCACATTACTAATAAAAAGTGCGCATATGACCAACCAAAAGAGAAACAGAGAAAGAGCCATCTATACTTTCACGTGTGTGTTTCAGTCTCGGGTAAGCAACATTGTGCATGGTGCGGTACAGCCGCCTTCTGGTTTTGATCAAAAGGGCTCCAACATTCCCAGAATGTGCAACTGTGTACAGTAAGTGGTACTGCATTAATGCCGTTAGTAATCTAGCAAAATCTAAATTGTCTTCTTATTGTGGTAATGTTGAAAAGTTATACGAGAACTTACTTTATTTATAGACATGGACTAAAGAGAATGGACTTATTTCAGGACTAATCTCACCTGTATCTCTTGGATCTCCTGGTTGGGCTGGCAAGTACCTGTCCAGAAGCGTGTTGGCGGTGTTCACGACCCGTTCTGCTACACCTGTGGCTGCCTGCCCTCCGGACAGCTTCGACATGAATTCCACCTGTAATATATTTCGTTTCATTTTAGAAATAGAGATCGATCGCTTTGTACTCATTATGCTCATCATTATGTTTATGATTACGCACATTGCAATTACAGAGTAACCTAGGCACGCGGTGAAATGAAAAGCAGATGAAGAAACCATGGGAACCTGCCACCAATAGGGAAATGACACAGCAGGGGTTTAAACGTCTAGGGTTTTTATTTCATGGTATTCAGCCATCTGGCAATCTTCAGCAACAACTAATATATGTAGGCAGACATGAACAGTATAGACAGAAGGAATAAAATATGCTGATATGGTAAAATACACATTGATTCGCAACAAACATAAAAAACATACTTAGATCAATTATTTATTCTTAGAAATACAACAAACCTTTTTCTCAAACAAAATAAAAAACAACTGAGTGAAAGAAAAGCTATGAATTTAGTTTATAGAAACCTCGCTTGTAATCGGTAATGTAATTATATAACTACTTTAGTCAAATCAAAATTCATTGCGGTAGATTCAACATTTTTTATAACTGAATCAACATTTTTGGCTGTATATCCCTGAGCAACCTACATCGCCTTTCTGAATCAGATATCGGATGCATGAATCAATTAATCTCCACATACAAGGCGACGCTACCGACCGTGCTGGAGACTCTGGCGGAGAGGGCGGCCGAGAGGGACGTGGGCACTGTTCCTGT